AGGTTATGAATGTAACATTAAATAAAGAAGTCTAATCAATGTAAAATCCATAAATATATGTAACTGAAAATTTTAGTTTTAAAAAAGGAACTAAAATCAAATTAATTAAATATTATTAATTAATAATATAAAAATATAAATAGATTAATCATTTATTAAATAAATTGAAATAAAAATTTGAATTAAATTTAATTTAATTGATATGTCATAACCCGTAATTAAACTGTTATAAGTAAGAATTTTTTAAGAGTAGGTTTAAAACTCGTAATATTGTATCTTAAATGTGTATATGGTGTGTTTTTTCCTTAAATTAAAGTAGAACAAAAAAATAAATTTTTGAATTTTTTTCCTAAGCACGCTGAAGTAGGCACGACGATTTTTAAAGTTTGCTAAAAAAGATTCCATAATTTCAAAAAAATTATACACTAATTAAATTAAAGTAGAACAAAAGAAATAATTTTTTATCTTTCTTTCCAGAAATACGCTGAAGCAGGCACGGAGACGTGCCTGCTTCAGCACTAACTGTCTCTTATATAATAAGAGAAAAAAAAATAGACACTAATTAAATTAAAGTAGATAAAAAAAATAAAATTTTGAATTTTTTCCGAAACATGCTGAAGCAAGAATGACGATTTTAAAAGACTACTAAAAAAGATTTCATAATTTCAAAAAAATTATACACCAATTAAATTAAAGTAAAACAAAAGAAATATTTTTTATTTTTTATTTCCTAGAAATACGCTGAAATAGGCACGTCGATGGAGATGTGCCTGCTTCAGCACTAACTATCTCTTATATAATAAGTGAATGTTTATAAGTACTAAATTTGATAGTGTAAAAAGGAACTGCAACGCCATTGTGCAAAAAATTAAGCTCATCTAAATATTATATCGATGCGCATTGTCGTAAGGAAATCGCTAACACTTTTGTCACAGTTAAGAGTTAGCATCAAATTTTAAAATATCTATTTAAATTTAGGGCAACTTACGGAAATAGCTACCATAATTAAAATAATTATTCTCCTTAACTACAATTTTAATAATTACCGATTGTAGCTATATTTTTAGTTGTTGTAGGAATGATCGTTTGTATAATTCGCTTCTTTTCAAAGTTGTATACAAAATTGAATTCAATTTTTCTTAAGGTAATGGCGGTAATATCGGTTGAGAAAATGCATACAATGTCATAATTCGCGGAATATTAAATCGTTAGACTTCATACCAAATATACCACATTTCCTTCGTAGTAGCAACCCAATAATCACACTTTGTTATACAAACTTATACAATGTTATACGTACTTTGAAATTGTTTTAAACTGGAATTGTTGCGCAATTGCATATTCCTCCATTACACACTTTAAGGGTAGCATTATTAATGTATACCTGGTCTACCTCCATTTAAGCTTGTTTGACAATAAACTGTACTTCCTAATAAATTGTATAAAAATGAATTATACAAGATACAATTTGAATACAGTGACAACAAATATAGAAACATACAATTTGAATTACAAAATACAATTATGAATTTATACAAATTTGGTACACTGTAACAAAAATCCCAAATCAATGACAAAAATATTTGCAAATATATAATTTGGATACATAAAAGGGCCCCTACATAAAATCAGCCTTATTTTCCTAAGTAATGTAAATTCTGAAATTGTATAACTATTATAAAACTAAACAAGTCAATATAGTTTATACAAAACACAAAACATCATAAATATACCATTCAAATAACAATATATAATTTCGAGTATAACTGAGAAAGAAATTTCAAAACAAGGACAAAAAATATACAAATATACATTTTGAATACCTAAAATCGGATTTCCTTTCCGATATAATATAAATTCTAAAATTGTATAATTATAGTAATACTAGACAATTCGTTATAATGTATGCAAACATAAACATAAAAAATATACAATTTGAAAAAGCATATATACAAAAAATGAGTACACATGGAGATCCGAACTTTAAGAGTTTATACAAATTATAATATACAGATTATTTTTAAAAAATGCAGGAAGAAAGTAAAATCGCATAATTAAGGGTGTTCACGGTTTGGTTTAGGTCGGTTATTGGTCAAAACCAAAACCAAACCAACTTAATCGGTTTTAAAATTATCAAAACCAAACAAAATATAATATACATTTATCGGTTTGGTTGTTTTCAGTTTTGGTTTGGTTTGATTCGGTTATTCGGTTATTAACCATACATAAAAATAAAAGAAACAATTCATTCAAAACGTAAAAAAAGTTACAACAATCCATTCAAACAAAAAAATAGTTAGAATGACTGGCATTACATAACTTTTGATCATTGAATTTACTGAATAAAACTTCAAATATCACTATTTTGGCATAAAAGGAAGAGACAATGACATTTTCAGTCCCACAAAGAATTTCCATAGACACTCATATACATGAAACCAATAAGAAAAATGTTCTCACCTTGGACATTTTTTCTTTCATAAGTAAATTATAAATAAATTTTGAAGAAACATATATAAAATCTTTAAAATTGTTTATGAATCTAATATATTATGTATTTATAATAATAAAATTTATGTATATAACTTGTTGGTTTGGTTCAGTTATTTCTTCGATTTTTTTTAACAAAATTATAACCAAACCAAATACTATCGGTTCTTAACAATCTAAAACCAAACCAAACCAAAATCCAAATTAAATGGGTTCATTTAATCGATTTGATTTGATTTTTCGGTTCGGATCGGTTTTTATCCAAACCCTAAACACCCCTACGCATAATAGTAACCCTAAAAATCTTGTAGCACGATTTGAGAAGGAATCGATGAAAATTTTAAATTTTGAAATCAATTTGTTTTGAGTGATTAAAGGAGAAAATAAGGTAATGGATTATGAAGAGAGAGAAGGAATGAGCTTGTATATAGGAAGAGAGATAGCGTACACGTTTATACAAAATTGAAAAGTCACGCCACATAATTCTAACTTAATGTTAGAGGCGAGCTGTAATTTTCAGAAACTATAACTATAACCAATAATAAAGTAGTACATGTTTGCTTAAGTAGGTTTCCCTTAAATTTAATCATGTGATATCCCATTTTATCAAATTAAAAGTTACTATATTTTTTTTATCGATCTTACAAAAAGGGATAGATTAATTTAAGGACTATAATTCAGGAATAATTTTAATCTGTGAACCATCAAACATTAACGTCAACATTTTTTATACTATTAAGTAATCTTTACTTGTTATGGTAGATAATATATCTTATTCATATAATTTAAAATTTCATATTTTAAAAAAGACTTACTTGTAATATTTTTCAAATGACTTTGATATCATACGTAACTATAATTGCTTATACAGATGAGATACAAAACTTATTACTATCAAATCTTTTAATCTTGTGTATTTCAAGGTTATCACTGTACTTGACGGCGACCATCCGGGTTACCCAGCTAAGCAACATTGATACGAAATAAACAATAAATAAATAATATTGGTCCTAACAATTGGGTCTTGATTATCATTGTTATATTAGGAATAATCTGTGGAATATGATCATGATACCTCTGACAAGTGTTTGTGGCTAATTTAGCATATACTCAATTATAACTTGGATATTCCAATATTTATTCTCTTATGGGACATACAAGAGTTAATGGGCTCTGAAATGACAATTATGTCCTCTGATTTATTTGTTTCAGTAGGGTAAATTATCGCCTCTTAAGTCTACCATAAATGCCACCGATAGATAACACCAACTCTATCCCCTTCCATTTTTAAACATACTATACAACTTATAAGTGAATAAAGAATGAAAAGAAAATTGAAAGTGTCTTTAAAAGTGTATACAACAAAAACAAAATGTGTTATAGTATAATCATATGATTACTTAATCACATATCTTGCTTAGGGATAATTCTGTCACTTCTTATTTAGGAGTTAGGACCAACCGTTTTTTTCTTTTTTTCGTGACACCGTCCGTTTCTGAATTGCACCACAGCACCAAAACCATTACTGTCAACAAATGAAAAATCACCACGTGTTACAACTGACCCACGTCACCATAACTTACATATACGTGTTACCATTTCAAGAGATCTTCACGCGAAATACATGATCTCACATTGTTATTTAAATTTTTTTATTAAAAAGTTGTTTTGGTTACATTGTTATCTTTACTTCTTTTATAAAAATTTTATTGAGATGATATAATATGTGACATTATATAACCACAAAAAATAATACTATACGTAACAATAGGTCAAATACTAGGATTGTTCAAAATCGAATCAAAATTAATAATTCAAATTAAAAATTTTTTATTAGTTTTTCAGTAATAGATTATTGATTTAGCAATTCAAATAACAACTTTGATTTTTTTTTATTATCGAGTTATCGGTTTTTAATGGTTTGAGGTTTTTTCTTAATGGGTTAACCGATAACCCGATAGTAAATTAAATAATTATATTTACATCATTTTGTATATAAAGTCTTTGACTTAGAGTTTACTTTCCTACTTTTATTTCTGGCTATCTCAAATTATCGATTATTCTACCATGTAAAAGTATTTGCTTTTGAGCAAGATGCAAGTTGTGAACTCATGTACATGATTCATTCGATTTGTCACCTTTCTAAGTGATTTTCATTAATTTATTTTTGTGTCAAATCTTAACGATTAAATCGATAGCCGAACCAATAACGATCAATAACCGATATGTCAATATCTTAATAGTTCTATAACTGTTTAACATCTCTACAGATCGATAACCAATAAATCAAATCGATATACTTCAAAATCGAACTAAACGGACCAATACACAACCCTATCAAACACACACTTTCTCTGCCACTATAGAAAAAACGAAAAACTATAATTACTTCCAAATCACACCAACTTGAATTTTTCCATAAACTATATTTCATAACAGAATATTCGTACATTTTTCTCTGATTCCCGGGAATGCAAAACGAGATTTTCATAATTGGAGATTGTTTCGACTGTAGAAGAAGATAAGTCGACTTAATTCAAGTGGGAATTAAGTAGCAGCAGGCAGCAATGTCGACGGAGAAGCTGATAGAAAACGCGCCGGCGTCGGCAATGTCATCGACGCATTCGCTCCGATACTACACCGAACCAGCGACTATCTTCGAGGAATTGCCGAAGGCGACTATTATTGGCGTGTCAAGACCAGATGCTAGTGATATAAGCCCTTTGCTTTTGTCATACACCATTGAAGTCCAGTACAAGCAGGTGAAAATTCTTTTAAAGTAATCAAATTAATTTCTATGCGGAGTGCATTTTTCTTAATCACAACTTTGACTTTAAATACTCCTATGAGTAGTAGCTTTGGATGTTGTGATTTAATTGTTTTGTTTCTACTTCTCTTTTCATTTGGTAATAGTTGCTATACTACATGATTTTATATTGGTCTTATAATATCGTGTATGAAGCAGAAGAGGTTTAATTGGATTATGAAAATTCTATCATTATGGTATAAGTTGGGAATTGCGTTTCAGAATTTGTATTTATTATTCAATTGAGGTGATTCCGGATTTGAACTTTACGAGTTTGAAATTAAACTGAGCCATTTGAGTTACTGGGTTCAGAATTTAATTTTTGTACATATTTAATATGCTTTTGACCCGATGGTTTATGCTATATATCTGTCCCATGTTTAAGGAGGCACATTGGAACAGTATTTCTGTATAGTGATCAAGGGCAACATGTGATTAGCCTTTAGATCATTTTGTAATGATGTAATTATTGGAACGGGCCTCATAAATACTGTTATGATTGGCCGTTGTGGTTAGGATGAAAGGTGACAGCAAGGCTATAGATCTTTTATGTAGAAGGGACCACGAGTATAGATATATAGAGTCATCAAAGAACTCACTGAGGTGAGAATGTCCAACTGGATATGCTATGGCATGTATGGATGTAGAAAGTCATGAAGCCTATGATACTGGGTGTATTGAAGTTCAACAGGTGATTATGAACAGCTCAGTTCATTTGATAAAAGTACACCTTCACACACAACACCTTTTTATGTCTGGTACAGTTGACCGGGTAAAAAAGAGCATGTAAGCAGGGTTTCTTGATACTAATCTTAGGTCATCATTTTCTATTTAATATCTGAGTATTGCTTTTTAGGTTTTGGATTTCCCTACTTTTGACAATTGTGATGGAATCTGCTATAGTTTCTCTTTACCTGGTCATTAGTAAATCATATTTTATATTCCGGCTATTCCATATCATGCACTTGGCTCTTCTACCTGGTTTAAACTAAAGTTACTATCAACTTTTCCTTTCGATAATACAGTTTCAGGTGACCCTATCAAGAATGCCTTTTCTGCTAGCTAAGCCTTTTCCCCTTCACTCTTTTATGCTAAAATAATGATAAGATTGAGCATTTAGCAATTTGGAAATCGATTTTTGAAGTCTTTATTTATTTTAGCCTCTTTTTCTCGGGTAAAGAAATTTTGAATTTGTTTTTGCTTCCATTCTGATAGAAGCTAGTCAGTGAACTTTAGTTTCTATAAAAAGTTCTTGTGTTCAAATTCATGACCATCTCCTCTTTACTTTTCCAATTAGCAGTTCAAGTGGTGCTTATTGAAGAAGGCCTCACAAGTTATTTATTTACACTTTGCATTGAGGAAACGTGCAATAATTGAGGAACTCCACGAGAAACAAGAGCAGGTTTATCTCTCTCTTTGCTTCACATATATGAGACAATTCTACGCCTTTGTTATTTCTTCATTCCATGAATTTGATAATGGCCACTGTCTAAAAGTCTCCTAATCTCATTCTCAAATACTTGTCAAAAGGTTAAAGAATGGCTTCACCACATTGGTATAGGAGAACAAACAGCTGTCACACATGACGATGATGAAGATGATGGAGCTGTGCCAATTTACAATGAAGATAGTATTAGAAATAGGTGTCAACATGTTTCTGTTTGAATCTTGTTATGCTTAGCAGGCTGGACCTTGCATAGAGTTCTGCAAATACCAGACATGATTCTTATCTGTGGGTATATTTGCAGGTGTGTTCCATCCCGGGCTGCTTTATCAATCATTCGTCCATCATTGGGCAAGCAGCAAACCATCACAAGAAAAGCAAAAATTGCTATGCAAGAGTATCTGAATCATTTTTTGGGGAATTTGGACATTGTAAATTCTCGAGAGGTGTGTATATTATTCTGTTTCAATCTCCAGCAGTTTGTTCTTAGACAGATACCTTTTGACTAGAAAAGTTTGTATGGGGTGGACAGTTGTTGCAGAAGTTAACTGTTGGCAGGGGTATTCACTGACGTCTTGGAGGTCATAGACTAGTTAATCGCTGAAGTTTCTCCTGAATCTTGAATTAAGCATGGGAAAAGTGCTTGTAACATCTGTTGTAGCTCAATATTTTTCCAGTTTAGGAAGTATGCAAAACATATACTTCCTTCCGATTAGGCAATTAGCTTCTGTGCTCCTATAAGTGATGTTACTTTTCTCTTTAGACTTGTACTGTTGGATAACCTTGTTTCTGATGATATTCTACCTTTCCTCCAAACAATAGTTCCTTAGACACCCCAGTCAAGGGAGCAATTTCTGGTTTTAATAGTCATGAAACAGTATATTTGATTCTTTGGGACTTTTTTCTGCTATTGTTTCTTTTCCTTGGTTGTAACAAATAGAGAATTTATAACTTCAGGTGTGCAAATTTTTGGAGGTCTCCAAGTTATCATTCTTACCAGAATATGGCCCAAAGCTCAAAGAAAATTATGTAATGGTTAAGCATTTGTCGACAGTTCCCATAGAGGAGGAGAATGTGGGATGCTGCATATGTTATTGGTCTGGCTGTTGCAAGAGTAAGTGGCAAAAGGTAAATGATCAACATAGTGCATTGTCTGCTGACAACATTTGTGGAGATATTTGTATGCATAAGCTTTTCTGCACATAAGGTCTTTTATCTTTCTGAAAGCTGGAAAGCTTGGTTGATTCTTCTATTACTTGACAAATACTATCTTACAGAGATATGGTATGAGAACTGATTTTGTTCTTACATGAAGACTGATATGCCTTTTTATGTTGCATTCAGATTAGAGTAATGTTATTACATGCAGAATATGCATTCCTTCCTCAGTTTCCTTCGAGACAGACATAAATATGGAAACCTGAAAAGCATTTTTCCTCTTTAATGACAAGATGAATGGACAGTTCATTTGTTATGAACAGAACTGAAAATCACTCTTGTTACTTTTGAACTCAAAGAAACATAGTGAATGAGGCATGTTATGGATGAGTAGAGGTGGTCAGACACTACGAGATAGATAGCCACATATGCATTTTGAGAACTCATCTTGGGAACCCTCAGGTCCTGAGTTTCCATGGTTCCTACTTCCGTGGTTGTTATCATATATTATCTAGGATTCTGCATCTTCTAACATTGTCCACTTTCAATACCAGTTTGTCCATGCCCAATCTAGAAAATGCCATTAGTTGGATTTAACCAGTTATTAACGCCACATGAATGAACATTTTTTAACTGGAAAGTGGGAGTTATAGTTTTGATGAAAACAATTGCAACCATAGCAGACACCTATTAGGTAAATGTAGATCTAAGGCTAAGATTATCTTTTAGCTTTTTTGCTATCCTGAACAATCAACTTGTCTATGGAATAAGTGTTGTCTGTGTCAATTTTCTGTTGAATGCCTCTCAAAGTGAGAGTCTTTCCATTATATAGAGAAAATAAAGATTACACATCCCTAAAGATCCGTCATTCTATCCCTAAAGATCAACTATTCTATCTCTACAAATCTGCTATTCAATCCCTCTAAATCTGCCTTGCTATCCCTCCAAATCAGCTATTCTATCACAATATTTATTCCTTTGATTCTACAACAAATGTATATGATCATGCTAATTTATATCACTATATAATTACATTAATATATACAATCATTTAGTTTTCCATCATGCTAACATCCCTCCTCAAATTGATGTTGGTGGATTAAGAAGCATCAATTTGCCTACTAGAAACTGATGACGTTGCCGGGCCATGGATTTTGTAAACGCATCAGCTATTTGAAGATCACTGGACACATGTGGAAGAGTAATGACTCATTTATCTACAACTTCTCGGATATAATGACAATCTACTTTGATGTGTTTGGTCCTCTCATGAAAAACTGGATGAGTAGCAATCTGAATAGCACTTGTATTGTCAGCGTGGAGAGGAGTAGGATGAGATTGAGGAAATCCAATCTCAGCAAGTAATCCACGAAGCCATAGACATGGATCGATATTCAGCCTCTGTTGAAGATTTTGACACACGATCTTGGTTTTTACTCTTCCAAGATATCAATGACTCTCCAAGAAACATGCACCAACCAGAGACTGAACGAGGAGTATCAGGACATCCCGCCCAATCAGAATCATTAAAAGCATTAAGACGAATAGGAGAACCACTTGGAAAGAACAATCCACGAGTAGATGTTCCTAGAAAATACCGGATGATGCGATGAACAACCACCAAACGGAGATGACAGGGAGCTTGCATAAATTGACTAACTTGTTGAACTGCAAAAGAGATATTAGGCCGAGTAATAGTAAGGTAATTTAGACTCCCAACTAATTGTCGAAATATAGTTGGATTAGGAAGAAAATCGCCTTCCTCACGACGATACTTCTCATTTAATTCCAATGGAGTATCTACGTAGGAGGAATCTTGAAGACCAGCAAAAGAAATCAGATCCTGAGTATATTTGTGTTGATTTAGAAACACACCGGAAGCAACATTATGAACTTCCAAACCCAAAAAATAAGTAAGAGTACCAAGATCTCTCATATGAAAAGAATCTTTAAGTTGTTGTAGGCTAGTGATTAGTGAAGAATCAGTTCCTGTGATAATAATGTCATCTACATACACCAAAAGAAGAACACAACCTGTAGATGTTTTCTGAAGAAACAAAAATGAATCATATTTGCTCTGCTCAAAAGAAAATTGTAGCAAAGTAGACCGGAACTTATCAAACCAAGCTCTTGGGGCTTGTTTTAATCCATACAAAGACCACTTCAACTTGCATACATCTGATGTAGGCGATGAGAACAAACGAGGTGGAGGTTTCATATAAATATCTTCTTTAAGATCGCATGGAGAAAAGCATTTTTGACATCCATTTGATAAAAAGACCAGTTTTGTGAAGCAGCAATGGTAATAATAGTTCTCACCGTAGTCATTTTGGCTACGGGTGCAAAAGTCTCCTCATAGTCCACCCCATACTCTTGTTTGTTACCAAGATCAACCAATCGAGCTTTGTAACGATCAAGAGTTCCATCAGAATGAAGTTTGATTGAATAAACCCATTTACATCCAATAGGGCAGACATTTGAAGGACATGAAACAATGTCCCATGTGTCATTTTCTTTAAGAGCCAAAAGTTCTTCCTCCATTGCTTTCTGCCAACATTCATGCTTGGAAGCTTGTGAGTAACAAGATGGAACAAATATGTTGGATAAAGTAGAGGAAAAGCCATGCCAATTGGGAGTACAAGATACTCTGGTAGATCACCGAGTAGGCTCAAGTGGACCAGATCTTGAAGAATTCTCAGATTCTAGTTGTGGTACAGTTTCAGGTGGCGGATCAGTGTCGAAATATGATAAAGTTGGCCGACGTCGTTCATACACAAATCCAGGTTTGAACCTCTTAAAAGAAGATAATAAATCCTCAAAAGTAGGAAGAAGAGGAGAAGCAGAAGATGAATCTATAATCGTAGGAAAGAAATATTGATTCTCAAAGAAAATAACATTTCTAGAAATACGAAATTTGTGAGAACATGGATCATAGCAAATAAAACCTTTTTGTGAAGTACTATAACCCATAAAAGCACATTTAGTAGATTGTACAGAAAGTTTATTGCGCTGCGAAAGAGGCAAATGCACAAAACAAACACAACCAAATGTATGAAAATCACTATAGTTAGGATTTTGGTGATAAAGACGAAAATATGGAGACTCAAGATTTAGCACTTTAGATGGCAATCTATTAATAAAATAGATAGCAGTAGACAAAGCTTCCACCCAATATTTAGATGGTACAGAGGACTCAATCAATAAAGTACGAGTGACATCTAAAAGATGGCGATTTTTTCGTTCAGCAACTTCATTTTGTTGTGGTGTATATGGGCAAGAGTGTTGTGAGACAATTCCTTTGTCAAGCAAGAATTTTTTGAATTTATAAGACATATATTCTCCACCAGAATCAGATCTTAATAATTTGATGCATGTAGAAAATTGAGTCTCAATGTAAGCCAAAAATGTCTTGAACATGGAAAATACATCAGATTTGGATCGAAGAAAATACACTCAAGTAAATCGACTATAATCATCTATGAATGTCACAAAGTATTTGAAATGAGCATGAGAAATAATTGGTGAAATGCCCCAAACATCACTATGAATGACATTAAAACATTTTGTAGCACGACTACCAAAATTAGGAAAAGGAAGAGTTTTACTTTTGCCTAATTTACAAGTAGAACAATCAATGAAAGCAGCTGAAAATTGATTTTTATTTCCCAATAAACCAGAATTTGATAAATGAGACAACACAACAGAATTTGGATGTCCTAGACGCTTATGCCAAACCTCAATCTTACTAGCAGTAGAAGTACAAGCAAAAGATAGAACATGAGCATTGGAAAAGTATATAGGAAATAATCGTCCAACTTTAGGCTCTTTCACGATTATCGTCCCCGACACCTGATCCTGCACAAGACAACCATTACGAGAAAAATTCACATCACAATTGTTATCTACCTATTGTCCAACTGAACTAAGACTAGTTGAGAGCTTTGGTGAAACAAAAACATTCTTGAAAGTTGGAGTAATGTCCCCAACCTTGGTAATGGGTAAATTACTACCATTGGCAATCTGTATTTGTGAAGGACCTTGATACTTCCGAACATTTTTTAGGATGCTCGTTGAGTTGGTCATATGATTGGAAGCACCTAAATCAACAATCCAAAAATTAGATGTAACATCATTACCTTGTAATCCCAATGCTGAAAAGGCTGACACAATCATTTGTTATACCATTTCAGGAGTAAGAACTTGTCCTGAAGATGAGTTATCATTAGTGGAACCATTTATCCCAGCTTGAAAAGCATTGATCCTACGATTTTGAGGGCACGTGGGACACTCTTTGATAATGTGTCCTTGTTGTTTACAATAATTACAAAACTTCTTGCTACAATTGCTAGCAATATGACCATATTCCTTGCAACTGTAGCATTGAGTTCTACTCATATCCCTGCCCTTTCCTTTACCTTGAGCAACAAATGCAACAGTGACATCATTTTCTTTCTTGAAAGCATTTTGTGTGACAAGACGTTGCTCTTCACGAAGTAATTCCCTAAAGCAAACATCCAAAGAGGGAGACGGGTCACGATTCATCAAGTTAGAGCGAACACTCTCAAAGTCGGAGCGTAATTTCATCAAAAATTGGTCTCGCTTGCTTTGCTCATGATCTACCTGAATCACTAATAGAGATTCAGTAGGTATTTTGGCATAGACAATATCTAAAATCCAGAAAAATAATCTTGAACAGAAAGACCTCCTTGAGAGTAATTAGCAATTTCATACTCTAACTGAAAGCGTCTTGCGCTATTATCTTGGTTGTAAACCTTTTGTAAGTAATCCCACATGGCCTTAGCTGTCTTGTACGGCCTGAGATTAAGAACAATAAGAGGGTCAATTGACCCTAGAATCCATGTCATCACCCGAGCATCTTTAATCTTCCATTCACCTAGCTTTGTTGCATCAGTAGGAGCAGGATCGCTTCCATCTATATGGCGCTATAGTTCTTTGCCGGTAACAAATAACTGAAACTGAAACTCCCAAGAAGAATATTTTTTTCCAGTGAAACGAACACTGAAGGATTCAAAGTGATGTGAATTCATGTTTTTGAATAGCTATGAAAACTACAAAGACTCAAGAAAGTAACTAGAATGACCAAGTACAAAATTCCCAAGTGGTAGGACTGATTATCGATGAACAGTCAACCAAAAACCAAGATTTTCAAAAAAAAACTTAGAAGGAACCACAGATAGCTATGAAACAAGACAACCAAGAGAAGGCTCTGATACCATGTCAATTTTCTGCTGAATGCCTCTCAAAGTGAGAGTCTTTCCATTATATAGAGAAATAACGATTACACATCCCTAAAGATCCGTCATTCTATCTCTAAAGATCAACTATTCTATCTCTACAAATCTGCTATTCAATCCCTCTAAATCTGCCTTGCTATCCCTTCAAATCAGCTATTCTATCACAATATTTATTTCTTTGATTCTACAACAAATGTATATGATCATGCTAATTTATATCATTATATAATTACATTAATATATACAATCATTTAGTTTTCCATCATGCTAACAGTCTGAATATGACCTGTCCTCCACAATGGTTGACCCTATTAAATGTTTTTGTCTTCCTTGTCTTAACTACTTATACTATGTCGTGCAGGTTTGGGCTATTCTAAAACCCGGTTACCTGGCCTTACTAAACAATCCTTTTGATGCAAAACTACTGGACATAATTGTTTTCGATGTGCTTCCAACTTCTAATGGGAAGGGAGAGAATGCGGTATACTTAGCAAAGGAAATAAGAGAAAGAAATCCTTTGCAATATGCATTTAAGGTCTGCTTCCAGTCAAACACTACAGAAAATTCTTTTATGGTGTTTTAGCATTGCTGTAACTTGAACTCAATTTTTGACCATTGTGATTTCTTATTTCTTGGTTACATGTTCATTTTGTTAGTGCTCTACTACTACAGAGTGCTAATTTTATTACTCAAGATATATATGTCAAATAAAGTTGTGTATTTTAGTTGCTTATCATGCACACTCACCTGAAAATTATCTTGTTTTGAAAGCAAGACTGGGTACAAACAAGAGATTTTGTGCACATACTGAAGTAGTAGTTTAAGTTTAATCAATTAGATGTTCTATTCTTAAACCTATATGATGGCTTGTAAATGATTTTAGCTGCTGGAATGGAGGAGATGATTTAACCTAAACCAATTATGTCTGCCCTATAACATTAAGTAATGATTGAGCTTGTTTCAGTTTACACTGTTTACTTCTTTTTCCCTTATATTCACCATTCAAGTAGCGTTGATAGATTCTACTAATCTTAGGAAGTTTAATTCAGGAAAAAGTAGAAACTGACCAAATAATTTAGTCAAACTAATGAATTTTCTTTTTAACTATCCAGCAACTTCTTGGTCAACCAAGATATGTGGGGAAGTCACTTTTTTACTCAACGTAATATTGCAGTCTTTCGGGAAATCCATTTTCTGTTTCTTCCCCCCTCAATCAAATAGTTGTTCAGTGTGACATGATATGGAGTTGTATGTCGCAAATATAACTAACCTCTTTTTTCTTTATTTAGTAAGTTATCTCATTATTGCTGGATTTACTTCTCAAAGAGTGCATCTTGTTTTGCTTGCTTTTGCATAAAACTGACAGTTGTAATGGCTGAAAGGTTTGTTGTGGGAACCGTAGCATAAGGATTAGAACCACGAGCCATGCCAAAGTCGATGATTGGATATGTGCAATTAATGATGCTGTTCTTAAACCTCCAGAAGGTTGGTGTAACCCTCACCGCTTTGGTTCTTTTGCTCCATTGAGGGGGACAACTGATGATGCCACTCAAGCTCAGTGGTTTGTAGATGGGAAAGCAGCATTTGAGGCAATTGCTTCTTCAATAGAGAGTGCAAAATCTGAGGTTGATCTACCAACTTTTTACATCGCAATCATAAATTTTCTTACTGCAGATAGTTCCACCTAATTTAATCTTATGCAGATCTATATAACCGGATGGTGGCTTTGCCCAGAGCTGTACTTGAGACGTCCATTTCACAGCCATAGCTCCTCTAGACTTGATGCATTACTTGAGACTAAAGCTAAAGAAGGGGTCCAGGTGCATAAGCGACTGATCTCTACCTAACATGTTTAACTTTGTAAATAATTGAGTAAATTAGTTACCTTTGTAAAGATATGACACCTGAACCTAACTCAACCCCAAAAGCTAGCTCATGAGGGAAGGTTTGTCCAAGTCCATATAAGGAGACCAAATTCCCATCCCTCTACCGATGTGGGTCTTCTTAACACTCCCCCGCACGCCCAGACCTCAACTGGAGCGTGAACACTTCTAAAATGGGGGACCAACATCGGTGAACAACAAATTGGGATGGGCCTGGCACTGATACCATGTAAAGATATGGCACCTGAGCCTAACTCAACCCCAAAAGCTAGCTCATGAGGGGAGGTTTGTCCAAGTCTATACGATGTGGGATTTCTTAACAACCTTTACCTCAAAAAAAAAAGATTATAATTTGCATGTATAATTATTCTTATGCTTTAATGCCTGCCAACAGTAATAAGTCACACATTTGTTGAAAGACATTTACTCAAGTCACTTTGATAAAGATTAGGAACTAGGCATTTGTCTTGCATCTAGACACATTGTGTTTAACAGAGACATTTACATGTAACTAAGTGTATCCAGCAATTTTGATGTGCATTCTGCTCATACTAAGAATTTTTAGTGTTTTACTTGCTTTCTGAAGTGAAAACGAATATGCCTGAGCATTTGCTGAATTTTGATTAGATGGTATATCAAGTAGATGTACAAATGTCTGTGTACTTTATTTGTTTATCGATCTTTATTTAAAGAAAGTATCTGTTATTAGATTCTACATTCAAAAAACAAATGAGTAATGTATGTGCTATTTGGCCATAGAAAATGTAGATGGTAATAGGTGCATTAAATGGTTGACCATGGTTCGCTTGATAATACCACTTCGTTATTTATATTGGTTCTTGGTATCTTTATCTTAAAATTATTTTATTCTGTAAAAGAAGGGATCATGCTTACATCTCATTGTTCTTTTTCATTGTTCACTACAAGACTTTTAAAAGTTAGAAAGGAATCAAGGATACAAAAAGAAGTGTTTTCTATAAAGAACTGTTTTCTATACAATTCTTCCATTGTGATTTTTAAGAACCAGTCTAACTTCTAAAAATATATGTTGATGCAGATTTATGTTCTTCTCTACAAGGAGGTTTCTATTGCTTTAAAGATTAACAGTTTATACAGCAAAAGAAGGCTTCTGAAAATTCACAAAAATGTTAAAGTCCTGCGATATCCAAACCATTTCTCCGCAGGGATCTACTTGTGGTATGCAGTTAAGAATTTAATACAACATAGACTCTGATGTAGTCATGAGTTAGAATAGATTTCCCATCTGTAGCTACACTCTATGTATATTAATTCCTTCTATTTTATAAGCTTATTAAAACTAAAACGTGGTTTCTACATGCAGGTCGCACCATGAAAAGCTTGTCATTGTGGACAACAAGATTTGTTACATTGGAGGTTTAGATTTATGTTTTGGCCGGTATGACACAAGAGAACACAAGTTGGCTGATCAGCCTCCTTTTATTTGGCCTGGGAAGGACTACTATAACCCAAGGTAAGATAGCTATGATATGTATGTGACCTACTCATGAACTTGAAATTTCCTTTGTCAAGTTTGTATTTATAACTTAAAGCAAATAGATATGGGCGCCATTATATTTCTTAACAGGAGTTCTTTTCGAACTCCTTTAGTTAGTATGTGTTTGAGAATAGGTCTTCATTAGCATTCAGATGATGAAATAAATATATTTGTAACCTGTTGAAGTTAGAAATGGAATATGTAGATTTTGAAAAGATTCCACCATAAGTAACATAGTTGAAAGAGCTATTGCTCTCCATGTTGAAATTGTGCCGACGGATTTAAATCAAATTTAGTTATCTATTTTTCTGCTTTGTCCCAGAAATGTGACAATTTGAGGCAAAAGAAGGGAAACTAATGGAAAGTTACACAATTTGTCTCCCTTCTTTGGTTTGCATGTTACTTATCTAGTATTCGCGTAGTTTAATGTGGAAGGAGGAGGTTAAATTTTCTTTTCATTTCCTCTTGTATGTCAAACTAAAAGAAAAGAAGCAAACAACTTTCCTTCATTTTGTCTTCAATTTTCCTTGACTTACACAGAGAGAGAGAGAGAGAGAAAGAGAAGGCATCTTATTAAAATTTAAATTTGATTGATTAAATGAATTTCTATTCTTGAAACTAGTGAAACTCATATTAATAGTATCATTAATAGTTGTCTCAAATGTTAGAGTACCATGTAAGAGCAGTGTTCTAGGCCTCCATTAGATTATTTAGTTTGATTCAATAAAAGTTTCTTGTTTGGTGGGTGTTCTATTAGACTCATATTTGTCCAACTTATTGCAAACGAATATCTAATATAGCTTGAGATGATTCAAGTTGATATCAATTTTGTAGATGGAGAATGAAAAGAATTAGAGCATTCTCTTAAGTTGACTGGTTGTAGAAGTCACTCAAACCCATATGCAGCAAATGTAATATTTAATTATCTAAATTGTCATTATTATCCAGAGAGTCCGAGCCAAATTCTTGGGAAGATGCCATGAAAGATGAACTAGAGCGGGAGAAATATCCCCGAATGCCATGGCATGATGTCCACTGTGCTCTTTGGGGACCACCTTGCCGAGATGTTGCCAGACACTTCGTTCAACGCTGGAATCATGCTAAGGTTCTTTTCTACTCCTCAGTGTACTTCTTGACGAAATTTCAAGTTGCTAATATTTCTGACCATTGATGCAGAGAAGCATAGCTCCAAATGAACAGACTATACCACTGCTTATGCCACAGCATCATATGGTTCTTCCACACTACATGGGCAGAAGCAGAGAAATTGAGATCGAAAGTAAGACAGCTGAGCTGAACTCAAAAGATCTGAATGGACAAGATCCATTTCCGTCTGGGTCACCACCGGAAGATATCCCGTTACTTTTACCCCAGGAAGCTGATTGTGATGAGGTTTCCTGTGCTGACGAGAAGTTGACTGGTCTGGTCTCTAGTCTATTACTTAAGTTTGATTTATTTTTTAGTTAACACTTTGTCATTAGGTCTGAAGATATATTTTCAGATGATCTTCATCACCTAGATCTCCAAAGCCAAATGAAAACTCATCAACTAGATAATTGGTGGGAGACACAAGAGCGAGTAGCAGAAGTGGTTTCAACTGATAAAATAGAAGATGTTGGTCCTCGAACCCGTTGTCACTGTCAGGTTAGCTTAACATTATATAGTACAATGAGGATGTCATTTGGTGGTGTATTGGGTAGTTTTTACATTCTGCTTATAAAGGTATAATGATTATTGACATTGTTTAGTATCTAGTCTTTATTGCTCAAGGATAAAAACAAGGAGAAAATTAAGGTTAAGTTGAGCTAGTATTAGAACCTTGAAAGTAGACAATTTGAAGAAATTCTAAATATACGTCTGGCGGAGAAAGTATCGGCTGGACTCCCTCCCCCTTTGGGTGCACCATTAGAGGATAAAGATATTGAACAAATGAAGGTAGGGATTAGTTGCTGCCACTTAGTCAAACATTACTTTAAATATTTTTTACTTTCTGCTGATAATGTTTAGGTTCATAATATTCCTTTAAACTACTTCCTAGATGACCTGAAATTTAATTCATTTTCTTGTTTACTCAGTTTCGCATATGTTTCAGTTAATTCTCTACTGCCATTGACATTTCTTATGGTTAACTTGTCATAGGTCATTAGAAGTGTCAGCCAGTGGTCTGCTGGAACAACTCAAACTGAAGACAGCATTCACAAAGCTTATTGTTCTCTTATTGAGGAAGCAGAACATTTTGTGTTCATTGAGGTATGCACTAATTACAATTGATTGTCAGAGCTTTGTGTTCATTGAGTTATGCACTGATTAACCACAAAGACGATACTGATTGTCAAAGCTTTTCTGCTTTGAGGTAATACTGGAAAACACACATTATTTTCAGCTATATGGAGTTTAGTAAGTGCTATCTTCTGATCCAATCTCTACACTATGGAATGCTAATATCCATCTTGTCAACCTTAAGTTGACTGCCACCAGTGGCTCAGTGGGTTTATTGTTGTTAATGTCCAGTTACAAGTGTACTCTTCTTGTTCTGAATCTCTGAATGTTTTCTGTTTCTGATTTGTTTTATGATGGTTATGAGCAAAAATATAGTAAAGAAGCTCACTTATCAAATGAAAACTCATGCTTTTATTTGCAAAACTTTCAGAATCAATTTTTCATCTCGGGTCTTGCTGGAGATGAAATTATACACAATCGTGTAGCTGATGCTATATACAGACGTATAAGGCGAGCACACAAAGAAAATAAGTGTTTCAGGGTTATAATAGTCATCCCACTATTACCTGGTTTTCAGGTAGGCATCTTCTCTTCACGTTGGAGACTGTAAGTTGGTTTTTGAGTTTTCACGTTTCATATCTAGCTTCAAAATTACAGGGAGGCCTGGATGACATTGGGGCAGCAACTGTGAGAGCCTTAATGCACTGGCAATATCGGACTATTAGCAAGGGCAACACTTCAATACTGCACAATCTTAATGCTCTATTGGGTCCAAAAACTTGTGATTACATATCTTTTTATGGTCTCAGGACGTATGGCCAGCTTTCTGATGTTGGCCCTATGTTCACGAGTCAGGTAATTTCTTGAAGATCTAACAGTATAAATCAATTAACTGAAACTCACTTATATAGTAAGATAGGTCCATCTATTGGCATGGACTGTCTTTGAATTGCTAAGAACCAGTCAATCTAATATTTGTATGATCAACTTTCGCCTCCAAGAAAATTGATGTATATACTAGGCGGAAGTTTGAAAATGAAAATTCTTTAACCAAGCCTGAAGGGTTAACTCATTCTACTGTTTAGTATGTAATGTTTATCATCTTCTGTCAATGTTTGCTCTTCTTTCTCTAACATGCAACCTGTATCTATGCAAGTTTACTTGATTTTGATTGTTCGAAAATTTGGTGTTCTATTGCACTAAAAGTTCTCCAATTTTAACACAGGTCTATGTACACAGTAAAGTGATGATAGTGGATGACCGTATAGCCATGGTTGGATCATCTAATATAAATGACAGAAGTTTGCTTGGATCTCGCGACTCTGAGGTAAATCTGTTCTAGGCTATTAGCATGTGAAGAACATGAAATCTTACTCCCTATAAGAAAGTCTATTCTCTTCGGAGAAGAAGAGAAACAGCCATTACTTCCTGGGAATAGCTCATCTACGTTCACATGGTAATACAAATAAATATTAGAACCATTGTGGACTTCTGTTTTGCAAACATTCTAATGTCGTATTGCTAGAACTGTCACTTGAGAGTCTGTAGACTTTTTTCTTCTTTTAAGGAAACATATTAGTAGAAGCAAAACCCTAAACACTGCACAAAAATTAGAAAACGAAACACATCCAGCTTTTATCTGGATAAATCTCGCTTTTGTCAGTGAATTGGTTCATCTACCACAGGAAACTGTAGATTCATACCATTTTCACCTTGAATTTCTGTCTGTCGATTCATATAGTTGGTTCATGTATACCTTGCTTATACCACACATGCTGCTTGTGAATGAGAGCTGTCCCCAGTCGAAAGATAAATGTATGACTTTTTAGCTTTTAAACTTCATGAGGCTTCACATTTCAATTTCTTACCTTGGATATCTGCAATTGAATTCTTTCAGCTACGCATCTCCAAAAGCAGTATCTTGTTCTGTAGATACTTTTAAACAATAGATTAAAAAGAATATTTACAAAAAAGGAACTTCTGACAGAAAATTGGTTGTTCCAGATTTGTGTAGTCATTGAAGATAAAGATTTCATTGATTCAACCATGGACGGAAAACCTTGGAAGGCTGGAAAGTTTGCTTTTAGCCTTCGGGTTTCTTTGTGGGCAGAGCACCTTGGTTTACGTGCTGAAGAGGTCAGTGATGCTTCAAACTTCCAATGGCATAAGATTTCCTCTCATGGATGTCACATGTCTTGACATGCAATACTTTTATACATATGTTTTAAATACAGCAACTAAAGGCCATCCTTTCTTTTCCAGACTTGTCAAATCAAAGATCCCGTGGCTGACTCTACTTACAAAGATATATGGATGGCAACTGCAGAGGTGAGACTGGTGTTCTTACTTTAGTTGATTGCCTTTTAAAGAAAAGCAATACAAAAATATGATAATACTAATTCTCGAAAGAAGCACAAAATAATTCTGCCATATGCCTATCTTTTGATAATGATACATGGATACTAGTGCATAGAAAGAAAGCTTCCAGGTATGACAGCAGCTCCATTATCACTCTATCTGCTTGTTTTAGTTATTTAATTGCTTTTATGTAATGCCCATTGACAGAAATATCATTTCTATGTAGTAGCCATGCCTGAAATCTTGATCAAACTGCACAATCTGGTCACTTAGATTTTCATCTCAGAGAATCAATAACTCTTTGTATCTCTTATATTTCAGTCAAATGCCACGATTTACCAAGATGTATTCTCTTGCATCCCAAATGATCTTATTCACTCAAGGTACGTGACTGACTACCACATCGACTTTCCACCATCTTTTTCTCTTTTAATTTATGGAGGCGGGGGGAGAGTAGTTAGTAGTGCAAAGTCTTTGATCATGCTCAGTTGCTCATGTTATCTAATGTCATCCTGGAATGCAGGTCTGAACTTCGACAATGTATGAACCATTGGAAAGATAAGCTTGGGCACACAACTATTGATCTAGGTGTTGCTCCTGATAAACTTGAATCTCACGTTGATGGGGAAGTGAATACGAAAGAGAAGTTAAAGTCAGTCAAAGGACATCTTGTTACTTTTCCCTTGGAGTTCATGCGCGAGGAAGATTTGAGACCGGTGTTTATGGAGACCGAGTTTTATACTTCTCCTCAAGTGTTCCATTAAGCTACAAATTAAGTTGTGATATGTAGGCTCTGTGTTTGAGAACGTGTACATATGTTCTTATTTTATGTATATATATTGGAATGCATTTTAGGACTGAAATTTCTTGTGTTTCAAGATACCAAACCGCAATTCTTCCCCTGGGTATTTTAGAAACCAACCTTATTCTTTTAGGAACTTCCTGACTTTGTCCATCCAAATATATCCTTGTGTTTCCTGAAAATAATATATATTATATAGTACTATATATTTATGTGTTAATTGCTGTTCAAATCTTCTATTTACAATTTATGTTACACTCTATATAATAAGTGACTTGAGCATAACTTATTACTTTCTCTGTTTGATCTGCTTTTTAAAAGAATGATCATTTTCTTCTTCTTTTTTAATACCTTTTTATTTTTTGACATGACATATTCAAACAATAATATTCATAGATATTTTAATATATTTGACGTTTTTTTAGTTTTACACTACAAAATTTTCTTTAATTTCGTGTCAAATTAAATATTTTCTCTGTCCCTAATTACTTGTCTACTTTCGAATTGTCACACCTATTAAGAAAATAATGATTGACATAGTGAGTTTATCATTTTATCTCTATTAATTATGAAGTGGATGAATTAAAAAATTCAGATTTTCAAGAAGTTCTATTTTTTCAAAGTAATTGATTGAAGATATAATAGGTAAAAAAAATTGTCCTTTTTTTATTTGTCAAAATAAATAAATAATTAAAGACAACTAAAAAAAGAAAAAGTCGACAAGTAATTAGAGACACTGGAGTAGTACTTAGCAATTTAATAGAGTTTAATGCAACCTCCGAACGAATGAGAATTTTCCATATCCCATTTTCCAATAGAGAACAAGGCGGGAATTTTTGGCGCCATTTCATTTTTGATAGTGAAAATTCCTCTACATAAACCTCCCACTCACTCTACAAACCCTAACATTCTCAGAAACTTGTCTTCAATATTCCTTCTTCCAAAAATGGCAGAAAATCAAATCAACTCTCCTGAGATCACAGAACCTTCTCCCAAGATTCAGAAACTGGACCACCCCGAAAATGGCAATGTCCCTGAAATCCCCTTTTTCCGAGTGAAGAAGCTCTCTGAAAACGCTGTTTTGCCCTCAAGAGCCTCTTCTCTTTCTGCTGGTTACGATCTATCCAGGTTTGCTCTCAGACTTTCACTGAGTTTTTTTTCGTTAAATCCATTTGGTAGTTCGAAATGTTTTTTCTAAATTGTTTGTTTTCTTGGTGTACAGTGCTGCAGAGACTAAAGTTCCCGCCAGAGGCAAGGCTCTAGTACCCACAGATCTCAGCATCGCTGTTCCTCAAGGAACCTATGCTCGTATTGGTAATTTCTTTCTTACTTTTTGAAATCTAAAAATATTCGTGATAGATTTTTTCCAGTTTTCTTAGTGTATGTTCCCTGTGATTTTTTAATTCCCTCATGTTTGGTGGACAATATTTTTTTGGGGAAAATTCTTCAGTGTACGAAAAGCAAGTGTTAATTATGTCAGTTCTACCTTTCAACACAACTTATCTCCATTCCTACCACACCCCTATGATTGCTCACGTTTGATATTTTTGGGGTGTTTTTTGGTTTGGTTATAGCGCCTCGATCTGGTTTGGCATGGAAGTATTCTATAGATGTTGGAGCTGGAGTCATAGATGCTGATTATAGAGGGCCTGTTGGGGTAGTGTTGTTCAACCACTCTGAAGTTGATTTTGAAGTCAAGGCTGGTGATAGGATAGCTCAGCTTATTGTTCAGAAAATTGTCACACCAGAGGTTGAGGAAGTTGATGATCTCGACTCAACTGTGAGAGGCTCTGGTGGCTTTGGATCCACCGGAGTGTAAAAAAAGTGGTCAGTACTAAAATATTGAAGTATCTAGTTTGGTAGGTTTTGACTAATGTTCGAATTCTGGGTAATACTAAAATCCCAGTAGTTGGTTTAGAGATTAAGCAGTGGGGGATTTTGGAATTGTATTTTTGGATCAAATGTATATCTCACTGATCTTAAATTGCCTCAGTGCATATTGATCTATATTATTAAGTACTTAATGAGTATATTGTTCTGACTTAATGCAAGCAGCAATGTGTTTATCTGTTACTAACTTCATCTTATGAGGGGATATCCATCATGTTTCATCTCCTAACTTATCTATTTTCACGAATTGAGGATGTTGCAGGTGATGCCGTGTCATCATTGGAACGATTTATTGGGATGAAAAAACCTAAAGCGAAGAGAAAAATCAATGAAGGTTTTTTATCTGTTATGAGAACTTCTATCTGAACGAAAACGGCTTCTTTGAGTTGTTTGTAAAGTCAATTGCTGAGAGGCAACTAGATATGGAGAGAAAAGATAAAGAGTTTTGAAATTAATGGAAGTTAAAGAAGAAAATGGAATGTTATTATGTAATTTAGATTCTATTAGTGAACCAAATGTTCGTGAATACATTCGACAAGAATAAAAACGAATAATAGCTAAAAGAAGTCAACAATGTCATCTAGCACAACCATAACAGTCAGTCCCATGTTCCAACACAACTCTATTTTGATGAGGATGATGGATTTGTAATCAACCTACTAGTACTAAGTTATTGTTATAATTTTGTAAAGTATTATGTTATTTAATGGATTTAACCTACTAGTATAATTTATAATATGTTATTTAATGATTATTGTGTTATTCATTAACAATATGTTTTATTGAGTCCGGAGCCTAAAGAGCAAAAAAAATTGTCAAAAATTTCAAAAGGGCACATCACTTTTTTTTCTAATCAAAAAAGCAAAATCGCTGCCCTAGCAGTGATTTCGTCTAAAAAAAAATAATAATAATAATTATTATTATTAAAAATCGCTGCCATTGTAAAAAAAAATAAAAAAAATTGTTGTGGCAGCGATTTTAAGTTAGAATTTTGTTTTTCCTTACACATCGCTATAGGGGCAGCGTTTTTCATGCCGAGTGCTATTATTTTCATGCCTATTATTTTTTATTAATAATATAAAAATGATAAACAAGACGACAGTATATTCAATAAAATTGTTGAAGCATGAGGAAAATTGAATTATATATCATAAATAATAATAAAAGAATATTAAATTCAAAAAAAAAAACTTTTTTTTTTAAATTCGCTGCTATAGCAGCGATTTTGAAGAAAAAAAGTTTTTTTTTTTGAGAAAATATGCAGTGATTTTTATTTTGTTTTGTCAGAAGCCCTTTTGGTTAATTTTTTTTTTGATGTGCCGTTTTAGTTTTTTTAAAGAAAAAGCACATATAGCTATTTCAATTTATTTTTTATTTATTTGAGTTATTTTGAATTATGAAAATATGAATATTTTTTAAAATTTTTACTTGTAAGTTTGTAAGTTAAGTTTAATAAAGTTTTTTTTAAAAAGTTTTTGAGCTTATGTTATAAGTTTTCAAGATTTGAATCTTTCGATGTTTATAAATTATTAAGTTATACTTATAACTTATAATTTAAATAACTTAAGTTTGTAATTTTAAAAAATTAAATAAACAAAAAGAAATACTAATAAAAGTATAAAACAATGACACAAATACTATTTTTAATTTTAATTAAAAATGATTTACTGGGACCGGAGTGGAACCGGGATGAATTGGTACCGATACCAAATCATAATACCGTTTCGTTTCGTGTACCGATTCAATATATCCCATTCTGTCCCGAATATTATCGGACCGAAATGGTACCGGTACAACCTGGTCCGGTGCCCAGTCTTACGGTAATATGCATCGATATAGTAATGGCTATGTTAATGGGGCAGGTCAAATACTATCATTTTCATAGCCGTTTGAAATAGCTTGAGTTGTACAATTATAGGCCTTAATTTCCTTGTTGACATGGTGCAGCAAAGTGGCTTTTGCTTTCTTATTTTCTTGGGCTGACTTTAGCTACACGTACATTTAACTCATTGTTTAGTCCGGTCCTATGTTAGGGAAACTTCCTAGACTTTATGGAGCAGAAAATTCAACACTTTTCCTTCAATTGCAGCTAGGCTTCATTGAACTTTAACTTCATCATCTAAGATACCTACTTCTGTAATTTATCATTCTTGCACCACTTGGAAGTATTCTCTAATGGAGAAATATTGTCAATAGCTATTCATATAGTCGATTCCAACTTGTTTGGAACTGAGGTTTACTTAAAGAGCACCTAGTTCTAAGACTTGTTTGATCTAATAGAATGATTTTTTTGTATCTAGACTAATACCAATCCATTTCGTGAATAAACTGTGAAAAAAAAAAACTCTAACCAAAGGCAGGTAGATGGAGAACACGAGAGACAGAAACTTGCGTTTTCTATCAAGTGTTATTTTGGAGTAGTTACAGGGTAAATATGCTGACAGAAATGCTTAGAATGAAAGAAGAGTACAATTGCTGAAATATCATCTACAGCTATCCCTCTCCTCTTACGTTTCCAAGCACGAACAGCACATTGAACAAGATACTTGGCTGCTTTTGCCCTATCTGGAGTTTCAGATACAATTTCTACTGCCTCTTCATTCGATATAACATCCCATACCTGCATTTAAGAAACTACACTTTAGTAGCCATCAAGGAAATTACAGTTAAAACGAAGATTTCTCGAAGTCTATGTAATACAATGTTGTTATCGTGGCCATGTCCTTCTGTTGAACTGATGAATCTTTGATCAAATACATATGCTTATCATTTTAGATATACATACTTTTGTTCTTATGTGCATAATTAAGAAATATGATAAGAGTAGTATATTTGGGGACAATCCAGTAGGCCAAACATACCCCATCTGTTGCCAGCACAACAAATTGGTCTTTGCTTGTGATATGCCTTTGAGTCACGTCAGGCACTGAAATTAGACCAAAATCTTTCACGCAATAGTCCCCGAAGGCTCTAGACATTGCCAATCCAGGGGAGGATTCATCGGGCAGCCATAATCGGTGCACCCCAGATTCATCATCTAAGCAAAATACTCTACCATTACATTGCAGTATTCTCTCAGTTTCCTCTGCAAGAAAAAGAAACATCAAACTAAAAT